AAAAAAGATATATCTGCAACTTCTGTGGTTCCTTGTAATAGGAAATATAAAAAATATAGAATGTATAAATAAGTTAAATTCAAGGCAGGGACCCTTACTCTTATTTCTTTTTTAATCATAGAGATTTTTTTGAAGAAACCAGTGCTACAAGCATTTAAGGAACTGTTATTTCATTTAATAAAAAGACAACAGCATGATATTTCATTTTACATTCTCATATTAATGCTATGTTTAAATTCAGAGACAATTCAGTTGCACTGGAAGGTGCCTTTTTTCTCCTCTTTTTCTTTACAAGTTGCAACATAAACTCTGCCTTTTAGAAGAAAAATGAGGAAGAAAGAACCTGCACATTAAACAGATCAAAGATAACAAAATAGACATGAAATACACATATATTTGTTTCTGTTCTAATAGAATACATTTGAGACAGCAGTAACATCCAAGGTGATAGAGTTGAGAAAATGGTCAAGACAGGGACATTTAGCTGTGAAGGAGAACAAAAGACAGCTGCACACAGTTTATTTATGACAACAACACATTTTGATCCGGCGTGTGACCTGTTATAAACTCCCCATGATTTATATTTAGTTTGGATCTCTTTTAAGAAAGGGCGAGGGTGTTTGAGGAGGGTGGCCCAATTCACTGCTGGCCGTGACTCTTTTGTAGGGCTTCATACTTTTAAACGTGTTTGTTCATCTATATATTAGAAGACATTACGCATACACCTGAAGGTTTTTCGCCAATATTTTATGTTTCAGTACCAAGGGTTTTAAACAAATTACACAGGTAGATGTTAATTTAATTTCTTAATACAAATAAAAAAACATATTTATTGAATGAATACATCAAATAAAGTTGATGGGATTTGATTCCTCTCCCAAAAATAAGTGCCATCTAACTGGAAAGAAATGTACATGTAATAGTATAAAATTATGAAATGAAGACCCCAGACATAAGACATCTAAACAAATGTAAAGTAGGGTTTGATTTGTGTTTTTGTTTGTTCTACTTTGACAGTAACAAAATAGTTTTCACAATAATCTGCTGCTCACTAAGTGCTCACCTCAAATTCAGGTTGAAGAAATAATATCCATATAAGATTTTGCAACATCACAATTACTTGAGAAGCGTAGCATGTTCCAATCTACAATTTACAAAAACATATTCATAAAATAGACATACACCTTAGATTATTCAATGTGAGATGAGGTGTAAAAAAGGTAATTGTTCATGTTTGTGGTATAAAAATATAGAAATGTATTATTTAGTATTTTAGATGTTTTGAAACTTGTATAGAGGGGACTTTAAAGGTCTTTAGGGGCATGCAACTATCCGTGCTTGCAACAAATAAGAAGAGTGAGAAGGAGTTGGACCAAAGGTGACATAAAAGATGGAGTCATCACAGAAACTCATAGTTGAAAGGAAGGTTTCAGTTCCTCACAGACAACGACAGACAAGGCCTTTTTAAAGTTTTGTCTGTAGATCTTCAGTAAATAGCTCTTAACCATAAACTCATTTTAAATAAGAAGCTGGTAACACTAATCATACAGTTAAATAATGCTAAAAATACATTATTTAGAGACAGCTCTACAAGAGCCTTGATTAACCTCTATAATAGTCCCCATTTCATCCCGACGGACAAAAACATCTAAGGAGGACAGCTGCACAATCAAAAAGGAAAAGATAGCTTTAGATATTTTCTGTTGGGTCACCACCAGCTGGGTCTTATTTGTTTAGACAGCTTGATGTTTGAAGTCTTGGGTCCTTTTTGCGCAACATGTATTGGCTACATAGGATTCTATTCCTATAAAAGTTGCAGTCATTTCAGTGAAAGGTAGATGCGCTTAGGGTTGAGTTTTGCCATCTCCAACTTGATTTAGTGAGTCCCTCTCTAAACCGGTAAAATGTATGCAGCTATCACGCTCTTCGTCTTCATGTGCCTGTCTGCCACCACCAATGCAGATCACCACCATCATCCTTGTCGTAAGAATTTTACAGTTTCATCTTTTTGGTTATTTTTCTTATTCTTCTTAGTTGCTCGTATGTTATGTAGCTTTCAAGATCACCACATTTCCTATGTGCCTTAAGAGTAAAAAAGGCCATGGTTATTTAAGATTAAAAAAGTATCTTATCTATTGTTTCTTAGGACCTAACTGACACTGTTTTCTTTCAGATGCACCCAATATGACAGGATTCATGTCCGTGGTGAGTTTTTTTTAAAAATGTGTCTTTAAAGGCCTGTTGTTCTTGTAGCACTTTATTTTAAAGCATTTTAAAGACATTGCTTTTAACCCTTTCTCTCTGACTGTCTGTTCCTGAATCACACCAGCTTGCCCTTAAGGGGGATATAAAGGGGTACGGTGCGTTCACCTACGATTCAATGGGCAAGAAACTACGGTTCAGGTCAAACGAGAGCCACCCCATGAACACATCAGTAGGATTGGATCTGCTGATGTTCTTCGACGAGGTAACTAGTTTCTCCCTTTAAAGAAAAGCTTACTTGATGTTGTGTTGCGCCTTTGATGTCTGAATCTGTACCAATGTGCGTCAGGGGATACTCTACGAGATTGACAGCAAAAACAAGAGCTGTGAGAAAAAGACACTGCATTGCACCATGCACCCCCTGGACGTCCCTGATGATGCTACGTTCATGTCTACGGCCAACGGTGGAAGTCCAACCATTGAAGGGGAGGGATTGAAAGTCACTACCTGGACTGGTTCAACGGCGGACATGAAGGGTGAGAGAAATACTTTAAAATGATACGTAGACTAATCTGTCTTTTTTACAGAGGTCATAAAGACATGTTTTCTCTCTTTTTCAGGCCACTACTCCATGTCTGTAACCATGGGTTGTCTGCCTGTGTGGAGCTTCTTCTTCCACGAGTCCTCATCATTCTTTGTCAGGTTGGTGAAATGTTTTAGGGAAATAAAAACCCTCTAGTATCGTTTATCGGCACACGCTTTAATGAATGTCCTTCGAAAAAACCTCCAAGTCATTTTTCATTTCTTTCCAACAGCCTGACAGAGGTTGAAAATGAGATCAAGGATCCTGACCAGCTCCTGGTGCCGTCCTATTGTCTGGCCGTGCCTTTGGAGGAGACACCTGAAGGGACCGTCAATAGTTTCCTCAACGAGTTCATGTAGATGAAGCCTCGCCAGCAAAAAAACAAACCCCTATCCAAGTGTGGCCCGCCAGAGCTTTAGACCTTTTCTCTGCTTTTCATGTGTGACTCTACTTTTGCGTGTTCAACACCGCCCTACATCAAGTCTGTTTCTGTCACATCTTCCAATCCCCTGTATGTCTCTTAATGGATCATCCTGTATACATACACTTTGATGTAAAAGAAAAAGAATATGTCATGGATTATAGAAAAAGTCGTAATTACTAACAGTTTGGTCGCTTTTCAAGTTGCTACTGCTTACAAAACCTGTAAAATATGATTAATGGAACAATAAAATGTCAAAGCTGTCAAACGTGTGAAGAGACATGATTTTTCATCCATGATTATTTTCTTATGAAGTGTTTTTTAATTGATTTTGTGCAACTTTATAACAAGCAGGTTTCACTTCAAGAAACAGCAAACCATATAAGGGCTCTCTCCAGATGTATCCACTAGGGGGTTCTGGGTAAAAAACAGAGAATTTAACCCCAATTGACTTCCTGTTCCTTTAACTCACTACCCTATTACCAGAAACATCCATTAAGGAAAGTGTACTGCAAATTATTAATTACGTTATTTCCATACTTCCACTAGCAGTAAACACAATATTATCAATAAGCATCTCATAGCACAACTTTGGTAAGAGCTGACTGTCTCCAATAGAGTCCAACAAATAGCCTTTAAATAACTAGAGTAAATAAAAGTTATCCGTATCACTAGGTCGCAATATTAAGACTTTTCTAGTCTGGAGGCCAGTCTACATTGTTCAAGTATGGATGTTCATACAGTTTCAAGATGGTCATAGTAGCTACCTAAAACTACCCAACCAAAATATAACAATAAAGAAAAATTGAAATGCTCATGTCCAGTGCCTTCTATAGCAAATTTTTAGTGATTTATAGAATTTTTTAAGGAAAACCAGTACTAACATTACTAGAGCTATTTATATAATCCAACTAAACTTACATACAATGTCAAATATTGGAGTTAAACCTTTTAAAAGATTAATTTCCTGCAATGGTTTGCTTTGTTTGTGAATGTAGCTGAACCATTTCATAAAAACATATATTGGTGTCATTATCTGTAAAGATTAGAAAATATGTATCTGGGCAACTTCGAATTCTATAGCCTATATATTAATTCAGACAAAGAAAATGATAAGTCTTATAAATACAAATAAATAAAAAATAGAAATATTTTAAACTTGTTCTGAGACATTTGTGCTGAAACTCATAGATGTGATGTGCAATATAAATAAAATGGACAATGCCTGTCAAACATCTCATGGTTAACTACCTTAAAACAGAAGTAAGGATATTTTTTTTCAACCAAAGATAATGTATGTATTACAGCAATCATTTATTTTAGCTGTTTGTTATGCATTCAGTCTTTAAACAAAATAAGTCCCCACCAGGCAACTGAGCACAAATCTTACAGAGACAGGAATGTATGTCTGTCAAATTATCAGTTTATCAGCCCAGCATTTCTACATATATAATATGTGACTCCACTTTAAGGTAGGCCTAAATGTATTTATCTTATCACGACATCTCTTTAAATTACATGTGAAATAAGATGTGTATCTACATGTTTACATGCAATATTAATTGATGGTATGTAAATCTAGGTAGTTCCAGTATGTCTCCATCCAGATTAATCTCAGACTTTGTTGGTTTTTGTTTTAAATTGATATTTTCCTACACATTGAGACAGTAAGCTTTGGAAACTTGAGAAAAGTTAGAAGCAGTGTTTGAATGCAGACAGACTGTCTCCTCTCACCTGCACGTCCCAGACTTACCGACAGGTGGTGTGTGTGCGCTACATGCATAACAACGAAAATACAAACTGTACCTTGCTAGGTTAGCCACCGAGGAGCTTCTCAACGTTAGCTAGCAAATACAACTCTTATTCTGGAGTTTTGGGAAATGACAGTTTGTGCAAGAAATTAAAGAAAGTCTTCTCTTTGCAAAGTCCGAAACGTTTGGATTTTTTGGTTTGAATCCGTCTTTGATTTAAACGAGGTAAGTAAGTTGTAAAATGGCGGATAGCTAGCTAACGTTAGCATTATGGAGTTTGTCATTGATCCTGCTGTAATGGCTTGCTGACCAGGGCCTTAACACATGTGTTTAAGTGTGTGTTAACACACATTCATCATACAATACCAGAATACATTAAAATTAACGTGATTATTGAAGTCAAGTTAGCATTCCAGCTAGTGTTTGCTAAATAGTGGTCCCGTTAGCCAGCTAGTTACAGCTAATGCTAGGCAAGTTAGCAACTGATCTGAACATGTATCACAATCCCAGTCAAGTAAAGCCTAGTTCTGAGTTAGTAGCTCGGTGCGAATAGTAAAGAAGGGGGTCTGAAGGCTGCTAACAGGATAATGTATTGGCCAATATCACATTGAGTGAGGTTAGCTCGTATTAGCCAGCGAGCTGCTCGGCCGTCGTACAGATACGGGGCTCGTCAGGAAGCGATCAGGGAATCACAGACCAGCTCGGGATGAAACATCTGTAGGTGCGTTTGTAGTTCGGAAGTATCAACACTGGCTGTCAGAGATGTGTCAGAAATAACTTGGTTTTTATTCGAAGTAACATTGGAGTTATTTTTTTTCAATGACTTGGACTAAATGCCCATGAGGATATTGCATTTCTTGTCTTAAAAAGTAACGATCGTTATTGAGGGACTTGAACCCAGCACGCATTCCTATTTATGGTCATGAGATCCAGAGTCAGCCCCCCGTCTTTTCAGAACAGGACAGTCATGTTGTGTTGACATGGGCATTTTGGGATTGCCCGTCACAGTTTTAATGTGCCAGTGTTGTGTAAACACGCCCCCACAGGTTTCCCTTCTATCACAGTATTTCCTGATGTAACGGAGTACATTTACTCGAATAATTTCCTTCTTTTTTTAATGTCCCCCTTTATTCAAGAAAATGTAAATGTACATCAAACATTATTACACACAAAACATTGACATCAGGGGTACACAGGTGCATATTCAGAGTAAAATATATATAGAAAGAAAGATATAAAGAAATTATTTATAAAAACGAAAGGTAACATTTCAATTACATTATTTATCTAATACAAATTTGGTTTTGATTACCTTCTTATTTTATTTGACTTATTTTTTTGTACTTGTACTTTATCTAATTATTCAATTTATGCTACTTTATACCTTTTCTTTACCTAACTTTAAAGGGAAAATATTGTACTTTATTCGCAACTTTATTCCTACTAGAGCTTTATTAACCTTTCAGTTTTAGACTACAACAAGCAAATTATGATATCTTATAATAATACATTAAGCTACCGAGCATTATAAAATGAATGACCAACTGCTTCATTAAAGTGATGTACATATTTTTTACACCTGTAATAATAATTGTCTAGTAATATTATAAGGTCATAAATAAATGGTCCATTCTGCTTAATGAATACTTTTGCTTTTGGCTACTTATAGTATATATTGATACTGAAACTGAAATAAAGATCTGAAGGCATCCTCCACCACAGGATTAAATGTTGAATTAGAAGTTGGGGACAATTAACAAGAACACCGTTATGTTCATGAAAATATTTTACAATCAACTGTATGCCTAGAGGAAAGCAGTCACTTGCATACATAGGGATTTTTTTCTTGAGTAGCGAGACTGCTGTTTCATGTCACTGCCAGGCTGGTGCATCACGGGTCATTTGTATTTCTGACAATATAAACAAACATGTTCTCTTCTTCCTTGGTCCTGAGTATTACACTCAGTCTTAAATCCGAGACCTGTATCAGATGTACTGATTTGTATGTGAGGTACTGCAGCCAGGGTCGGTGTCCTCATTCATCAACTAACTCCTCTCATCGATCTTTTTTCCAGGTGCAGATTCCTTCTTGCTTGGTGTACAGCGCAGCAGAAGCACTCAGTCCAGCAGATCCAGAAAATGTTAAAGAAATGATAGCAGCGCAGGAATTGCACACAGACTTTCAATTTTCTCAGTAAGCAGTGCATCATTGGATATATATTCCTAAATCAAAAATGTATTTGAATGTTTCTTATTTGTTTGTATGCATGTACACTGTCATGTAAAGCTACAAAAACTATAAAAAAAAATCTGTTTAGTGATTTTAATTACTCTGTTGTTCACAGAGAGGCAGAATCTCAGTGGTCCTCAGATACTGACTTTGAGGATCCTGATGGCAAAGATGCAAAGACAGCAAAGGGCATGGTATGTTTCTTCTTCTTTCTATGGTTTTGGTCTTCACTTCACACCTTTAACATATCTGTCTGTCTAATTCGGGTCACAGAGACTCTTGAGCCAAGCGCAACATGCATTCGGGGGAAAGGCATGAAAAACCCTGGCCCAGATCCCAAGACTAACAGTGTAGAATTAAATGGATGTTCTGCAGAAGCTGTGATTTAGACTGATCAGGAACTCCCACAACTCCCAGTAAACTGATGAGCTTTTCAGTCTACACAAACATATGAATTGAGAGTTCTGATAACACAATAACAAACTTTCATCTCTGATTTGACATTTGATCCATAACAGGCAGCCAAGAAGGGGAAGAAGGCGCCCGGAGATAAGGCCAAAGGTGGGGGGGCAAGGAAGGCCCCCGGTGCTGGCAGGGTGAACGGCCATCATCAGGAGAACGGGATGGAGAACATGACGCTGTTCGAGGTGGTGAAAATGGGGAAAAGTGCCACACAGGTGCGTAAATACGAGTATGGAGAATAGAGGATGTCTTGTACTGTGGTTTCTTCTTATCTTCTAATGTTGTTAACATATTGTTTTCACACGGGTGGTAGCTGCAGGCTCCCTTTTTTAAATGTAATTGTATTAGGGCTAGTGATGGGAAGATCTTATTCTGTATCGGAATCAAAAACACTCTCAATAATAGATATATGTGACTTTATATCATTGGGATAATAAGAAAATAACTGTCTGGTTTATTTTCCAGTCTGTTGTTGATGACTGGATCGAGGCATACAAACAGGACAGGGATGTTGCTCTCTTGGACTTAATCAACTTCTTCATTCAGTGCTCTGGTTGTAAAGGTAAGTGTCTGACAGGATGAGTCTAGATGTGTAGCAGGTTCGGTGGCTTGAACGACAAAATGAATATGCTGAACTTGTTTTGGTTTGATTCCTTCCACAGGGGCTGTGAGTGGAGAGATGTTCAGAAATATGCAGAACTCTGAAATCATCCGAAAAATGACAGAGGAGTTTGACGAGGTGAAGCAGGCTTTGTTTCATTCACTCTATTACAGTAATCAGATTTCTAGCATGTTGAAGATATAAAGTGAAATGAATCTGATCATCTATCTGCTCTCATCCAACAGGACAGCGGTGACTATCCGTTAACGATGTCAGGGCCACAGTGGAAGAAGTTCAGGATAAGCTTCTGTGACTTCATTGCAGTTCTGGTGCGTCAGTGCCAGTACAGCATCATTTACGATGAGTATATGATGGACACCATTATTTCACTGCTCACCGGCCTGTCTGACTCTCAGGTCCGGGCCTTCAGACACACAAGCACACTCGGAGGTTGGTCTTAATGTTTCAATCCACTCAAATGCATTTTGGTTTGCACGCTGTAATTGCATAGAAGTTGTTTTCCTTCCTGAATTTTGTGGTGTTCTGCAGCGATGAAGTTGATGACCGCCTTGGTGAACGTCGCTCTCAACCTGAGCATCAATATGGACAACACGCAGAGACAGTATGAAGCGGAGAGGAACAAGGTCATTGCAAAGAGAGCCAATGACAGGCTGGAGCTCCTGTTACAGAAGCGTAAAGAGGTGAGAAGAAATATAAACATACAAACATTTCACATGAAATTATATGTTATGCTTCCCATAGCTAAAATACCTCTTCTTACAGAGCTTTTAGTCATACCTTTTAGTATTTCGTCATTGAGGGTTCAGAAGCCACACAATCTTTTTTGTTTGTCTATTTTCATGCAATTATTCTAAAAAGTATCCCTTTTTGTTTTTCTTTCAGCTTCAAGAAAATCAAGATGAAATCGAGAACATGATGAATGCAATTTTTAAAGGAGTGTTTGTTCACAGATATCGGTAAGTGATTATTGATTTACTAACACACTGTATACTGACTGGGATTTCACTGAGGAGCCTGTCACGATAGTCCAACAGGAACCTTGCAGTGTTCACTGCTGGCGTTTGGCGCCCTCTAGTGGGAAATAAATGTTAACACTATTAAAAGCCCTTACGATTTAAAGGTCCCATGACATGGCCATTTCTACTGATCATAATTCCATTGTTGAGGTCTAGTAGAATAGATTTATATTGTGCAATTTTCCAAACTCACATTGGTTTCTCATACAGCGTCTCTGTATAGTATGTGTATTCACTCTCTGTCCTAAACGGCTTGTTGGAGCTCCTGCGGATTGGTCCATTTGGGTCGTCGTTACGCCACTTATGGCGCGTTTCCACTGCAGCGCGGAGCCCGGTATAAGAGGGTTGTGACGTCAGCGGCCCGTTAAAGGTTGCTTTTCCACTTGGCCTAGTACCAGGAAGATAAATCTCCAACTGTGTTAGAGTTTTACTCGCTACAGGGTGTACTTTGAGGGTTTGTGACTTTGCAGACCGTTTACATGCATAAAAACCTTCATAACACACATGGGGACAGGTAATAACCGGAAAAGCATGACATGGGACCTTTAAGTCAAAGCTTTTACAGCTTGGAACAATTGTCTTTTCATAATGGGATTTTATAATATATGAATGACTAATTAAATAAAATATGTTGTGCTTTGCCAGTGATTCCATTGCTGAGATCCGAGCTATTTGTATTGAGGAGATTGGAATGTGGATGAAGCTGTACAGCGACGCCTTCCTTAACGACAGCTACCTGAAGTATGTTGGCTGGACAATGCATGACAAGGTGAGCTCACAGACTGCCTCTGTTTTGTGAATAAACTAATAATCTTTACTGAAGCAAAGCTGATTAAGTGACAAAAAACTGTCCACATAAATCGTCACAATTTAGACCAACTTCAAATCTCAGTTTAAATCAAACTAACCAATCCTGTCTTTCAATAGATGTTAGAGTACAAGCCACACATAGTCCTCCTTGTTTAAATATTTTTACTGTGAAAAGCAGCTAATGATTGGATTATTTTTCTTTTGAGACTGTAGTAACATTAGAAATGTCTCTGTTTCCTCTCTCTTATCTCTTTGTTCTGCACCAGTGGTGCTCGTGTGTTTTCAGTTGTTTTAGGATAAGTCTATGATATGATTTGTTTACAATCCAAATCATAAAGAGAAATGCATCAATATCAGCAGAAACAGTAGACAAAGACTACAAATTATGTCTATATACTGTATCAACATTTGATACATAATTTTGACTTTTAGCATTGAAAAAAGCAAGTCACCCTATTTTGTTTGGGGCTAAAAAGTAATAAACATTTTTAATTAGGTTTATGGTAAAGTAACATTTGAGTTTTCACAACAAAATAGGGTAGATATTTATGTATTTCTCCTGTCACTCCAGCAAGGGGAAGTGCGCCTGAAGTGTGTGAGCGCCCTGCAGGGCCTGTTCTACAGCCGGGAGCTGGGTGCCCGACTGGAGCTCTTCACAAGTCGCTTCAAGGTGAGCCAGCAGGAGCACCACCTCAGTGCCAGTTAGTCTTAAACACTATGAAAAATGTGGGGAATTGAGAGGCTTTACACTTCACTTGTTGCATCTTCATATGCAGATAACTTCAGATTACCCTTGCAAGATATGACAACTAATGTTTCGGTTAAGATTTTGTAACAACAGTTACTCTCATTGACAGGACCGCATCGTGTCTATGACTCTGGACAAGGAATATGATGTTGCAGTGCAAGCCATTAAACTTCTGACTCTGGTCCTGCAGTGAGTAACCTCCTTTCCTCCTGAATGGCATTCTGCATGTAATCTTGGTTAATGAATAAGAATAATGTGGCAATACGCATTAAAGTAAACATGGCAAATCTCACTACAAATTGGGATTCAACATATGTGGCTCAAGGAAGGGGTTATTATTTTTGAATTTGTAATACAGTAGCTGAGTGTAAAATGGGGAGGATATTACATTTTTGATGGTTTGAATATTCATGTTTTTTCCCTAATATTTTAAACAAATCATTTACACATTTACCTAGTCTTATCTCTGATGGCTAGCCTCCATTAGTAATACAGTATGTATTTGTTCTAACAGGAGTAGTGATGAGGTTCTGACAGCAGAGGATTGTGAGAGCGTTTATCATCTGGTTTACTCAGCACATCGACCCATCGCTGTTTCAGCAGGAGAATTTCTCTTCAAGAAGTAAGTGTTTTTTGAAACAATTGAACCGTTAATTTGTGGTTACATAAGACATTTATTATATATTAAACTATTTAGGTGTCAGGGGTGTTGCAGAAGTCTGGTTCATAATCTGCTTCAAATTAAATAAGCTAACTTTGGATTCCAAATTTTCTCTTGTTCCGCAGCAAAAACACATGTTGAAGACTAACAAATTGTTCTGTCCGTTAAGTTGACTTTGTATGATAACCTTAAATATACTTAGTAAGTAGAAAAGATGTATTAGGAGTTATGTTGAATCCATCAAACAACCCCTTCAACAGAGCATCTTAAAAAGGTATCCTTACAGTGTGTCCCCTAGGATGGAGCCATAGCAGCGGTGCTAAGGCACGTGGGCCCAGCAGAATGTGAGCGCGGAGCGCTGCGCCGCCGCTATTTGTATATAGGGGAAACACTGCCTTATAGAAATTGCATTGCAGAATCCATGTGGAATGTCCATGTAACCTCTAGCTTTACAATCAATTAGCAGTCAAACAGTGGAAAGCTAATTTGTTATTATTTTAATATCAAAACTAATTGGAAAACCTGTGAAATAAAAAAAACTGGCGATGTAACTCTTTGTCCTTATGTGTGTGACACCCCATGTATTATCTCTCCTCAAAGTGACTGAAGGCAGAGCAGATGTTTATTCCACCTTCACAATACATTTTCAATAAGCCTTGTTTTTGTTATTCAAGGCTCTTCAGCCACCGTGGCCCTGAGGAGGAGGGATTACCCAGGAGGGGCAGGCAGAGCCTCAATGGAGGCCTTATCAAAACTACTGTGTTCTTCTTCTTGGAGAGCGAGGTAACTAGCCTCTGTTCATCTAAAGAACACTTTGATTCTACTGTTCAGATCTTATTTTTAGTTTTCTGTGAGATAAGATCATTACAATTCCATAAATGAAATGGTTTCCCGAAAACAAGGAATCTACTTTATGTTTTTATTTGATTTAATAACATTTAACCATTTTATGTGTTACAGCTCCATGAGCACGGGGCTTACCTGGTGGATAGCCTGTGGGAGTGTGGCTCCGAGCTGCTGAAGGACTGGGAGACGATGATCAGCCTGCTGCTGGACGAGCCCGCGGCAGGAGAGGAGGGTAAACATCCCCTTTTTTTAAATAAGCGGCTCAGATTTATCTTTGGTTGTTGTAGTAATTTGCGTGAGTCTTTTAACGATATTAACTGTCTACGTCTGCCATCTTTAGCACTGACTGATGGCCAGGAGACGGCCCTGGTGGAGATCATGCTCTGTGCCATCCGGCAGGCCTGTGAGTGCCACCCTCCTGTCGGCAGAAGCACAGGGAAGAGGGTGAGTGTGTGGTCATCAGGCTCCACATAGAGAGGGTTGATGGTTGAATGATTTCATGTTATTTACATTGTTGGATTTATGTGCATTGAAAAGGTCCTGACTGCGAAGGAGAAGAAAACGCAGCTGGATGATCGGACACGGATCACAGAGATGTTTGCAGTCGCGCTGCCTCTGTTGTTGGCAAAGGTGATTACTTTTATCACGCACTGAATCAAACAGAGAACAAAGGCTGGTTTGATTCTTAACCATTTTACTTTTTATCTCTTTTAGTACTGTGTTGATATCGATAAGGTGACCAATTTGCTACAAATACCAAAGTACTTTGATCTTGACATCTACACAACTGGCCGTCTGGAAAAGGTTTGTCAGTCTCTACATTTGTTCTTCATTGTGCAATTTGTAAATAGCATGCGGCATCAGGTAAACATGTGTTTTCGTATTCTCGTGAAGCATTTGGATGCCTTGCTGCGGCAAATCTGGGAGGTCCAGGATAAGCACACAGACATAGAGGTCCTGGAGGCCTGCTCTACCACCTACCACTATCTCTCCAACGAAGAGTTCACCATCTTCAACCGCGTGAACATCGCCCGCTCCCAGCTGCTCGACGAGCTGGTGGACAAGTTTAACAGACTGCTGGAGGACTTCCTGCAGGAGGTGGGGGCTGTTGGAGTTTTCCTTTGTGTGGATAGCATGAAAGAATGTTCACAGGCGACTCCGATACAATGAATGTCAGGGTTTGACAAGGTTTGACCTCTTGTTTGTCAGGGTGAAGAACCAGATGAGGATGATGCCTACCAGGTTCTATCCACACTCAAGAAGATCAGCGCTTTCCACAAGTAAAGAACATGTTAACATTTTCAGATACACTATCCGCCATCTTAGGTCAATTTTGGTTTTATTTTAAGCGGGAAGATGTAACTAATGGCATTTGTGTGAACTATGAACTACATATTAACTGTGTATAATTTGTTTTCTTTTTGTTTCCAGTGCACATGACCTCTCTAAGTGGGATCTCTTCACCAGCATCTACCGGCTGCTGAACACCGGTCTGCAGAACGGGGATATGCCTGAGCAGGTAACAGCAGACTCACTTTGTCAGAAACTTCTCCCATAATGTCAACCAACATGTTCAGTCAATTAGTGCAAATATAGTACATGCACTTATATTAGTATCCAGGTTACAGTGGGTTTCCTCCAGTAAGCCAATTTCGTACACTTCTTTTGAACAAGGGACTTGGTTTCTGTTATCAGAGGATCACGGGAACTGGTTTCTAATGAAAATGACATGACATACAGGGAAAGTAACAAATAATAAAATAAATAGTACGGTAAATATGAAAGAACGTAGTGAAGTTTGGGTGAGGGAGGAATAATCGACTTGCATCACTGATTGATATTAAGGTTACTACCATAGACTGTATATGGTTACTACTCTGTATGTAAATGATTGTATCTGAGTAATCTGGTTATTTAAGTAAATAAATGGCTCTTCTGATGTGCTTTCCTCCTTTCCCCACAGATTGTGATTCACTCATTGCAGTGCACACATTACATCATTCTGTGGCACCTAGCAAAGGTTTCAGACGGCAGCTCAATAAAGGTATTCACATATTTTTCACATAGCACTTATTTTGTCTATTGTCATGACAAATATAGCTACCATTTACCATAGATTATTTAAATTGCATTCTACTATGGGGCAACTGTCACTACACTACATTTTTACTACTACTATTGATTCTGATTTAAAAAGGTTGAATTATTTATTTGATATGCAAAGTGTACATAAGGTATTATGTGCATGGCTCTTGCAGACATAATGAGTTTCAGAGTACTATTTACACATCTTGTCAAACTCGCAAAATGCATAAAGAAAGCTTAGTGTTTTCATCTTAAGGCACTCACTGACAGCTAAAGGTTTCAGTAAGTAGCAAACATGAGTTTATATGAAGTCCAGCTGGTAAAACTACGATACTGACTTACTGTGTTTTATCTTGTGTTTTCGACTGCTAAAAAGAATCGAACACTAATCAATACTAACTGAATATCTGTTCCTTTTAGGGTGACATGGTGACCTTGAGCAAGCAAATGAGAGCTTTCTGCTTAATGTGTCAGCGTTACCTAAACGGCATCAACAACGCAGTTAAAGAGCAGGTGGGTTATGCTGGAAGGACGGCTCTTTTATTCATGATTTTTCTACATTGCCACTCATGACTTGAACATGTTCATCAATGCTTAAGTGTTGTGTTTATTTCAGGCCTTCACCATTCTATGTGATCTCCTACTGATCTTCAGTCACCAAATTATGTCTTCAGGCCGGGAACAACTGGAGCCTCTGGTCTTTATGCCAGACTCCTCTCTGCATGCTGATCTGCTCAACTTCATCCTAGATCAAGTGTTCATTGATCAGGATGATGACAACAACAGCACAGGTCAGAGTCGCTCAGCATTGCCGGACAGAAGTGTGAAGAGTGACAAAGCATGGACTACTACTGATTGTTTTTATTTATTATTTTGTATTTTCCAGATGGACAGCAGGATGATGAAGCCAGTAAAATCGAGGCTCTGCACAAGAGAAGAAACCTTCTAGCTGCCTACTGTAAATTAATCACTTTCAATGTGGTGGAAATGAACAGCGGCGCAGACGTATTCAAACAGTACATGAGGGTAGGTTTTATATCATTTTAATTGAGTTGTAAATATTCCTCCTACCCTGCTCTCCTTGCTAACCGCATTCTTTTCCTTTTTCCTCAGTATTATAATGACTACGGAGATATCATCAAGGAGACGATGAGTAAAACAAGACAAATCGACAAGATACAATGTGCAAAGACACTTGTATTGAGCCTACAAACGGTAAGAGTGGAGACTCTCTGACATAAGTAATCTATTGTTGCCTTGCTTATTTTTCTTTATGGAACACATCAGTAGATGCCAGCAAGCGAAAATAAAAGATGAAGTATTTACCGACTTTGATGGTAATTTAAAAGGCATCAGTTATACAAAAGCTTGATCCAGTGTACCACGTAAACACAGGAAGATGATGGTCTTTGGAAAGGTTAAAAGAAGTGTATTTCTGTGGTTTTCTTTTATAGTTATTCAATGAGATGTTGTCTGAACTTGGCTTCAATGTCGACCGCTCAACATCAGCCTTCTGTGGCATAAAAGAGCTCGCCCGACGCTTCTCCTTGACTTTTGGCTTGGACCAGGTGAAGACCAGGGAGGCTATTGCCATGTTGCATAAGTAAGTAACCATCCTGAGACGAGGCCTAATGCTTTACAGCTTTACAATCCAGTTCTTACTATGACAGCCGGTTTGAATGAGCAAGGCAAATCATTATTTCCCTCTGTGTTTCAGGGATGGAATTGAGTTTGCTTTTAAGGAACCGAGTCCCCAAGGACCAGGGAGTCCACCTCTCAATCTCTCTTTCTTGGATGTCCTGAGCGAGTTCTCCAGCAAACTGCTTCGGCAGGACAAGAGAACAGTGTAAGTTTGTGTGTCTGATAGTGTTAAGCATGAAGCTGAGGAGTTTTCTCACAAGTTCCTGAGTGTGACTGTTGCATTTTGTCACTTGTACAGTCACACATACCTGGAGCGCTTCATGACGGTTCAGATGGCCCTGCAGCGAGAGGACTGTTGGCTGCCCCTCATCTCCTACAGGAACTCCCTGCAGGCCAGAGGGGACGATGACACCATGTCTGTCCTCAGTGGGATTAGCAGTCGGGGGTCCACCAGGAGCAAGAAGGCCAAGCCAGCCACTGCTAGCAAACGGAAATGTCCTGAAGGTGGGCGACTTTTGGAATCATTATAATTAGTCATATAAGTTACTTCCTGAACTATTAGAGATGGAGTTGACACAGAAAGTAATGTCACAAACACCCACACACAAACAACATGACATTTGTGTGGAAGATGAAGTAAGACCCAAAACCTGTAAAACCTGCAAGTCCAAAATCAGCTGTGTAGGAAAAACCTTAAAAACAAGATTTTTACAACCAGAATGTCCCATATTTAGGGCAGTTTGAGAAAATGTAAATTATTCTAAGTTTATTTAATAGTCAATGTTTTTTTATGAACATACAATGTTTGTGTATGCAAATTATCAAGTTCAATTATAGTTTAAAGAAAGGGGTCCAACTTTTAAAACAATCATATGTATATATAGAGCCTGTGACCTAAGTTTTTCACTGCCATATCTACACTGTAGCTAATGTGCAAATGACAATAAAGCCTTGAATTGAATTGAATCCAACAAGAAAAATGCAATTAGTGCATCTCTATGTAAACCCCAAAGTGCCCCCCTTTGCAGAAACGATATTAGTTTGTCATTACCGTTGCTAAATAGCAAATACATAGACACAAAGTTGTAAATGCTTGGGTGTTTTTTACCCCTTTTTAAATTGAAACGCATGCTAAATTATTTTCTGTAGCAGAAGAGAGCAGCTGCAGCAGCAGTGATGCAGTCTGGATGAACCGTGAGCAGAACGCACAGACGCCAGTGATGATGCATTCGCCAGTGATGATGCATTCGCCCCACCTCACCTCCACCGTGCTGAGGGATCCAAAGAAGATGAGGCCAGAAGACAGCTACACCGGCGCTTACAGCATGCCGACAGAGCAGCTTCCCCATCAGCCTGTGCCTCTCCAGCAGCAGCAGCAGCCACATCACCATCATCAGGCTGCCATGGATTACAAGTAAGAAAACACTTAATTTACCTTGAAGTGAATATTGCAAATGTTGCTTTTGTTAAACTATGGGATTTAAGAAGTCGTGTTAAATAATGAACACACTGTACCCACAGCACACAGGTTACTTGGATGTTGACACAGAGGCAACAAGCTGAGGCCCATCAGCAGCAAGAGCGGGTCAGCATGCAATACGCCAAGATGAGGAACCACATGCAGCAAGCAATGTAAGATGGCACCCCTCTTCAGAGTATACAAGGTCGCATTCACAACAGCCTTTTATAGTCCGGTTGATTCGAACCCTGGTGCGTTTCACCGCTTGGTGCGGTTCGTTTGGGTCGGTGTGAACGCAGTCNTAGCCCAATATCACAAATGTTACATTTGTCTCAGTGGACTTCACAGTTTGTACAGAATATCAGTATGACAATACGACACCCTCTGTCCTTAGACCCTCAGTGAGGGTCTAAGGACAGAGGGTGTCGTATTGTCATACTGATATTCTGTACAAACTGTGAAGTCCACTGAGACAAATGTAACATTTGTGATATTGGGCTATATAAATAAACATTGATTGATTGATTGATATCACAACTAAACTTGACTACTGTAATGCCCTCTAAGTTGGAGTTAGCCAGGCTTCCATCTCCCACTTACAGCTAGTTCAAAATGCTGCTGCTCGCCTTTTCACGAGAACACGCAAGCGCAAGCACATTACACCTGTACTGGCATCTCTACACCGGCTTCCAATAAAGTCGAGTCGATTTAACATTTTTTATTGTTTGCCTACAAAGCCCTAAATGGTTTGGCCCCACCTTACCTGGCAGAACTCCTACAACCTTATACATCCTCACGGTCACTGAGGTCTGCTGACAGATTCCTCCTTGTGGTCCACGGGGCCTTTGCTGTAGCAGCTCCCAGGCTCTGGAACCCCGATCAGACTTGATCCCACTTTGCCTGTTTTTAAATCTCGTTTAAAGACTCACTTATTCTCCCGTGCTTTTGCAGACTACGTATAAGACTTAACAGTCTGTGCTTTTAAATAGTTTTTTTTTAGTTTCTTGTCTTTTATATTGTTTTTTCATCATGTATGAGAGTTTTTTCAGTTTGTGGCCATAAGTATGGTTTTATTGTGTCGTGTTTTTGCATTTGTTTTTTGTCCGAGTGGTTTTGTGTAAATGTATGTATGCTGCTTTTATATATATATTTATTGATGTACCACTCTGTTATGCTATATAAATAAAGTTGGATTGGATTGGAAATAAATAGATGCATACGTAAAAAACAGGGGGATAAGAATTGCCTTCATGTCAAGAACTCTGAAAAAACACCTACTTCCAATAATGACAGTCAGGGATGATAACAGTTGTGATAAGAGGAAACTTTAAAACTTTTTTTTGTTTAGTGATATTCAGTGAAACTGTGGCAGTCATTACTAATGTCCATCATGAGATTTCTCAAATATTCCCTTAAGATGCGCAGTCAAAACGTTTCCCTGTTGAAAAAAAGTTTCAGATTTCAGACATCCCACTTTCACCGTCATGACCATGTGATGACACTCCACAGGAAGAAGGCAATTTATCTGTGTGTGTTGTCATTGTTTGAGTGTGCAGTAATACTCATTGCTGTAATTGTGAAGAAAATGTGTCCCTTAAAGAGAAGAAAAACTGAATATAAGCATGCAGGGGAATACAAAAGTGCCAATTAGATCAAATTAAGATTTATGTTCCATCCTTATCTGATTGTCACTGTGACATTTCACTTTAAATATGCCGGAATAAACAACCTCACTATGTACTAAAAGCACAAAATGTGAAAGTGTTTATTATAGAAATTCAAATTGCAGACTATAACTACCTAAACATTTATTCCTCGCTCAAGAAAACACTTTTTCCCAAAGTAGAATCATTTCTGTATAACTCGCTTCCCCAACTCACCTTTCTGAATGAATCACAGGCCACAGGATGCTGAAACAGAGAGAGAGAGAGAGAGAGAGAGAGAGAGAGAGAGAGAGAGAGAGGAAGGAAAACAATAAAAAAATCCCAGCAATGCGAGAAACTGAAACTAAGACATGAAAGATATATAAACAGTACACACGCCTTACTATAACATGAAGCTATCTTAGTACTGTTCACTACTCCTCCAAGGTAAGACCATCTTGTAAATATAGATATTTTAGAAATGAAAAATGTAATTGTTTGAGTATTTGTCTATATAAGTATATATAATGCTGGGTATATATTTTATATACAAGGTATATATTTTTGGTTAGTGTATCATGTGAGCATTTAAAACAAACGACAGCAGGCTATTTTCTTGAAAAGATGCACAGTGGTGTTTATGGTATTCAAAACATAGGGAAACATTTGTAGGTAACATTCTGTTTTTATTTCTTGAACACACTTCAAAATGTATGTCAGACAGCTGCAGTGATTCTGTATATGCATGATAACATCTAATGACACTTCTGCTGTTTATTTGTGTAGAATTGTGTTAGCTTTTGTTGTCAGTAAGATCACGAGGGAACACTGCCATATATTCAGTGAATGAGAAAGAGCTTGACTCACCAGGAAGAAAGTCTGTGACAATGCTGAGCGAATACTTCCAAACCGAAACAATTTTTAAGGAATCAGGACATTTTTGTTTCCATGAACGTGCAGCTGTAGTGTCACTGAATAACACAAGAAAGAAAGCATGAGGATGCCTCGTGGTAGAGGTTGTGGATATGGGTTTTGTTTTTAGAAATATTAGTGGACTTCCTTCCAATGCTTAGTATGCAAATTGCCAGTTAGGTTCCCATAAACAGAACCAGTGTGCTTAACCGGAACGCTGCCATTTGTTGTTGGAAGTGATACTGTGGGTCCCTTTTTTGTGTTAATAAAGATAATAAAAACCTCTGCCTCAATAGAGATTTTTAAGGGGCAGTTAAAGACCCACCTTTTCCGACAGGCCTTCGGGTCGTCGGAGGATGTGAGTTAGTAGCTGTCTTTTATTGGTGTTTTATCGTATGTATTACCTGCTGCTGTTTTATGCCTTTTATTCTACATTGTATAGTTGTACTTTGAATTGTGTCCTGTGTAATGTACTGTAAAGCACTTTGTACATCCGTGTTGAGAAGGGTGCTATATAAATAAAGTTTTACTTACTTACTTGTGTGTCGTTAAATGTTAGCTATTTGATATTTATTAAAGATAATGAGGTGTGAACATCAGATGATCTATAACCATTATCTCTGTTTCAGATGACTCTTTGCTGGCGAGCTCTCTTCCTCCTTTGCTGTGTCCTAAGCTGTGTGCAGTCCTTTTCTGCATCTCCAGTCCTCCAGAGGGGTAAATACAATGACTCCTTTAGCCTCACAAGGTCAACCCGAACTCGTGTCCAGCAGCTGCAGAAGAAATACGTGAGTACTGCACACCACTCCCTGCTCTATAGTTATATAGACAGTACTAGTGTTCTCTTACTAAACAGATGTTTCTATGTTTTTACTTTAATAGAAGGAGCAGCAGTTGGGGAATAAGCACTTCGAGGACAGAAGCCGGCAGTTAAATGACCTGCCATTGCTTTCTACAGATTTCTACAGCTGGCTAAAGCTCACGGTTAGTATTTATTAAAAACAAATAGAAAATCACTGTGATGTATTTCTGCTAAACACATTTTCAAGTTTCATTGTTTTGATCATTTCTCTCCCGCAATCATGAGACATTGTCAAGTCTGCTCTTGCAGAATATAAAACTTGTAAAACTTATTATTATTATTATGATGTAATAATGTGGCCTTCTCTTGTTCAGGACTGGGAACGACTGCACAGTGCGTTTGTGGACATGCAGGCCTATTGGAATAGGCTGGACCGGAAGAGAAAACAGCTGGAGGGGGAGGAGAAAGAGCAGATGGTGTCTCGGGCGGTCGGCACCACCCTACCTCAGAACATCAGGCACGTTCAGCATGACCTGAGGGACCTGATGATCCAAGTCAGCAGCCAGGTATCCACAAGCTCTTTACTGAAACACACTCACATTGTTAACCCCCACATTAAGTATTTTGGAGGAATGACGCCATTGTTTTGATAAATAATACTTTTGTTTTCTTCTCCAGATGAGTTACATGAGGAGTTCTTGGACAAAGCCAACCTTTCCTACACCATTAAACCCTCAAAACGGATCCCAAACGGTTTGGGACAGCAGTGTGGAGGGTTACATCATTCTGCGGGATCTAGACCTTTACCTCACCAGGCTGGCAAGAGACTTCCTGTTTCTGGCTTCGAAAACACACTGATGACTCAGTGCTGAAACAGAACCGTGACGACAAAAAACAGCAAAACGAAGAGAAGGCAATGAGCACTTATTGGGATAATACCCAAGTTATTACTTTAGGAGATCTTATTTTTGCTAGTCACATTTTTTACATGATTTTTTACTGTATGTCTAACGGTTTTCTTGGGTATTTCCCACAGTTTCTGTATCCTCTCTAACTTACAGTTAGCAATAAGCTCCCAGAACAGACAACACTTCCCAACATCCTGTTTTTCCCCTCACTGTACTGGACTTTCCAAAAATATATTTAATTATTTATTGACATATTTATTAACATGTTATTTATTTCAAAGTATTTTTATTTCTCTTACAATAGAGATACAGTGTTAAAACATTATTATATTTTATATTGATAGAATGGAAATTTATTTATGTATGACTGACAATAAAGAGCATTTGAAAAACAGTGAAGACTTCATGTTGTGGTTTTCTTATTATAAAAAAAGATCAGTCAGTTTTGCAACATTGAAGACATTCGTAATAAAGATGCTGCGTATTAATTAATAAGGGAACTTCCTTCTGTTTGAGAATGTGCTTGTGCTGCATTGTGTCAAGATACAAACTAACAAGGACAACTTCTAAAGCGGCAATCCTCCCGTTAGCTAAAAGGATTACCGTTTGACTGGATGCTGTTTTAGGTTTCTTCATGCAGTGTTGATGTGAGGGGCGGTCTGTGGAGGGAAATCAGATTGAACAGTTATCTCCCCAAAATGTTTTTTAATTAAAAGAAAATCCCCTTTCAAAACACATGACTCCAGATCAGTCGCTGACTCACCACCAGCAGATGACCTCGCTTGCCTTTGGCCACCTTCAGCTCCGACCCCCTGACGAAATCAATGAATCCCTCTTTGCCTCGAGCCACGACAAACCTTATGCTGCGGGGGACAAATAAAACACAGGAGGAACAGATGAGTTATAATGGGT